CTTCCTTGCAAGCATTCAATAACTGTTAGGGAAGAAAACCCTACCTCGAAATGTTAGTTTTCGTGCCTTGCTTTTCTGCACTGCCTTATATGGAATCTTAGTCAATCCGGGGTACCCACATTGCATAGAGGTGAATTCGGGCCATTGGAGCGGGAAGGCAAAGAGGAAAACCATCCAGGGCCCGTCTTTGACTTCCAAACCAGGCCCTCATCAAAGTTTTGAAAAGGCGAAGCAAGAGCCAGGTTTGATGACGAAGCAAAAGGGGAGAACATGAAGGAAGCCAGAAATGGCCAGGCATGGAATGCACCCTTTACTATAGAATAGGAAGGGGTTTGCTGAGGACCTAGGCCCCTTGTCCCTCCATCCCAGGCTGAGTGTGGGTTAAAGGGGGAACAGGGTGGGGCTGCCAAAGAGGGTAACAAGAAGCTGGAACTAAGGGGACAGGGAACCAGGGAACAGCTTTATGGGATGGCGGACAGGGGCAGCGCCAATAGTCCATTGGCTCCCTGGAAACCACCCATGCTGAGGGGATGTCTGGGGTAGGCATTTCAATGACACCATGTTGCCCTGAGACTTGGACACGCTCCAACTGAACTCCCCACACAGACCCCTTCCCTGCAGCCCAAAAGCCCAGGACACTTAGAGCCCCAACCTACATTACAGAAAAGGGGTCGGCCACCAGGGGGTAGACTGGCTGCAGGAGTCATGGAGCTGGCTTTTCTTTTTGGTGGCCCAGTATCTGAGTCCCCTTCCAAGTCTGGAGAGTCCCCACAGTGTCAAGTAGGCCCCACTAACAACAGAAGCCTCAAAGCCACTGGTATGACTGATCAAATGATGGGCCTCTGTCCCCCTTTGTTCCTGTGTCCCGGCCTTTGCAACACTCCTATGTAGGTCTACCTTCTTAAGTTTGAAGATACGTCCCCAGCCCTGATTCTGGATTTGACCCTGTCATCTGCTTCGGCCAAAGGGATACGGGCAGAAGAGACAGCACACGGTTTCCCAATCAGGACCTTGGAAGACTCACGTGATTCCACTTGTCCTCTGGTAGCACTGTAGAGCATGCTGGCCAGCTGCTAGTCCGAGGCTGTGGGACAGGTGGGTCTGAGACTCCTGGCTACTCCACCCGGAGTAGAGAGCACGCCCAGCCGAGGGCAGCCCAGAACAAGCCTCCTCCAGCTCAGTCACAGACACATGAGAAACAAACATCCGTTTTTGCATGCCATTGAGACATGGGGCTGTTTGTTACCCAGCAGTGGCAGCTAACACACTGAGGTCGTCCTTTTCCCCACTCTCTGGGCAGCTACAGCATTGACACAGGACGTGGGCTAGGCCAACAGGATGTTTGCGCTCAGAGCAAGTGGTGCAAAGAAGCAGCATCGAGGTGGGCATCTGGTTTTTAGGGGCAGCTGTGGCTGAGTGCCAAGGGCAGGTGGCAGTGCCAATTGAGGCATCTGGAGTCCATGGTGATGGCAAAAGAGTCCTCGCCAACCAGTTCCCTGGCATGATTTCAGCTGATCGCCCTGGCTGCCTCGCCCCCTAGGTTTCTACTGTTTTCTGAGCCTGGTTTTCCAGCCTTCCTGCCTCTTTTGTAAGGAAATGAACAGCCTTCCAATGCATATTTTTGCCATTTAAATCAGCCTGAGGCAGTTTCTGTTGCTTGCAATAAAAACCCTGATTTATATAAGATGGGCAATCCCCAGCATGTTACATTTATAATTTTGAAACTGTTTGAGTTACAACTATCAGAATATCTGACCACTAGTATCTTCAGCAACACAGGCGTTGTGGTTTCTCATAAAAAGGAGTCTGGCAGTCAGAGGTTTCCAGGGTGGGACAGGTGGCCCTGTGATTTTGGGGCTTTGGGAGGCAGCATCTCTACACCTCACTTAACTTGCTCCTCATGGCCACAAGATGGCTGCAGAAGCTCCTGGCATCATGTCCTCACAGGAAGCAGTAAGGGAGAGAAGGGGGCAATAAGGCCTCTCTCTTGTCCAGAAACCCCCACCCCAGACCTCCCCTTAAAGCTTGCTGGCCAGATCTGGGAAACACGCCCAAATCAAAAACAACCCCGGCAAAAGGCGTTGCCAAGAATGGCTCAGCCAAATCCTAAATTAACCCCCGAGGCTGGGCACGCTGCTGCTGGCACCAAATCAGGGCTCTGTTGGCGAGGGAGGAGAAATGGCTGCCGGGATGGCAATAACCAGGGTCAGCCACAAGACGTAAGCTGGGGCCTTGCTGTAGGCAGGAGTGCGGCTTCATGGCCCTCTTGCTCGTGGGGTCCACAGGCAGAGGGTACCCACAGACCATGGATTGGATGAAGCTCTGTTCCCACCTCCCCAGCCCAGGACCTCTCGCTTGTGTGGTAAACATTCGGACGGTGCCTCCAAGGCCAGGTGCCCCTAATAAAACCCGTGCACCGAGTCTGCACCATGAGAAGCGAAATCTCCAGGGCCTGTGAGAACACAGGAGAAGGAGCTACGTTCTCGGAGACAAAGCCAGGGGCAGGTTTCCAAGCTGGCCAGGTCCGGGGCAGATTCCCACCTCACAGAGCTCCCCAGAGGCCCCCTTGGCCCCTCTTGCTGCGAGGCCCCAGAAGTCACATTTGGCCTGCCTCTAGCGGGCCTGAATCCCACCGTCCCCGGAGACAGTGTTTTCCCACAGCCCGAGCCCAGGTGTGGAGGGAGGCTCCTGCCGGCTGCATCCAGGGCCTTGGTGGGGAAGCAGGCCATCTGGAAGAAGACGGGCTTTCCCCAAGCTCAGTCCCTACATGCAGTGGCTGGGCCATTCATGGCCCCAGAGCCCAGGATGAAAGGTAAAGGGAAGAGATGAGGTGACAGGCTCTAGACCCCTTCGGGGTGCTCTGCAGAGAGGCCCAGGCTGGTCCAAGGGTGAGTGTGAGTGTGTTTGTGTGAGCAAGCACGTGAGCATGTCGTTGGGCATATGAGCAAGGCTCCGTGTGAGCACCAGTTGTGACCATGTGAGTGTGCATGTCACAGTGCGTGAGTGCAGGTGTGCGTGTGAGCTTACGCTTGTGCGTGCATTTGTGTAAGCGTGTGTGTGCAAAGGCATGTTCCGCCTTTCTCTGAAGGACACAAACGTTCACAAAGTGAAGATTCAAGCCAGTTTCTGCTAAATTAAAAACAGCTTTTTCGTGTTTAAAGTTTACAATACGAAAAATAATTTTCCTTTCTTCCGGCGGGGGGGTGGGTGAAGAGGGAGGGGCAGGGGGCCCCTGAGAACATTCCATGAACCAGCCCAGACGGTTATGCACAATCGACCCGGTTAGATACGGCAGAGCCCCCCGAACCCCACCCCCCGCGCCGGCACCCCTGCCAGCTCATTGGGGACAAGATGTTCTGAGGTGTGAGCTGATCTGGGGGGACTTGCAGCTGGCAAAAGATTCTCACTGCCCCCCTGAAGGGGCCATGCCTCTAGCAGGGAAGGGTTCTCCTTGGGGGAGCTCAGGTTGGTGTGGGGGGGTGGATGAAAAGGGACTGGAATGTTCTGGTAAGTCCCCAAGGGCTGCTGCTTTCGTTTCAATGCCCCTGGCAGCATGGGCTCCTTCCTGGTTCCCAACCAAGTTTTTATTTCAACGCCGCCCCCCACCGACACATCCAGCCTTCCTCTGGGGCCCCAATGGCCGCTGCACAGGAGCACCAGGCCTGAGGGTGCATTCTGAGGGTGATCCTGGACACCTCCCCTCTCAGAAAGCCGTCCGTGAACAGGAGGCTTTCTCCACCAACATATAGCCCAGTTCGCGGTGAGGCCAGCCACGGGAGCAGGGGTTGGGGGCAATTCACAGAGCTCTTATGCCCATATGGAACGGTGATGACTTCGTGTTTCTTTTAGGACCTGCCCTGCGTCTCCCCCACCATGCCCTCCAGGGAGAGGGGCTCCCCAGCTCCCCCATCTCACACCCCAGGACTGAGTAGATGGAGACAACCTGCCAGGAGCTGGGGGCTGTCTGGTGGCAAGGGGCCAAGCCACCAGGCCCATGGAACAACCTGGAGAGAGTCTCTCCAAAGGCCGCCCAGCCCAGGGCAGATTTGCCCTCTGTCTTCCAGGCACCCAGTAGGAGTTCTGGCCATACATCTCACTGCCCCACACCCCTGAGCCAAAGGCCAGCCCCCCTTCCAGCTCCCCCACAATGCTAGAAAAAGGCAAAGAGGGGAGGGGAGCCCCTAACCACATAGAGGACATGAGGAATCTGTGACCCATCAGGCCCCACAAGCTCAGCGCTGGGCCTGCTCCATCTTTTCACCAAAACATTTTTATTAAATGAAGGAAAATACTAGGAGACGACATCTGCTAAGATAGGAGGTTAATTCTTTACACGGTGAGTGGGTCACAGAGACTCGACATCAATCGTGCATTAGCAGCAAGAGACACTTTAAGTTGCCCCGAGGGTAAAAATCCCATTTATAAGACAGTAATGCCGGTGTCTTAAAAAAAGCAAAACAGAACCCCCCACCCAAAAAAATAATAAAAATGAACAGCTTTAGAGCTTTGACACCGAAACAAATGTGGCCAGAGATGTAGCGAAGCCCTTAAAAGAACATGCCACACCACTCGCCTGACTTCCCTTGCTGAGGGGGCCCAGGCAGGCCTAGAGGCATGACCACCAGCACACAGGACAAGGCAGGAGTGGAGGGCTGGAGAAAGTGAGGGAAATAAAAAGTATGAGACCTTTAGGAATGCAGACACACTGTGAGTTCTAAAGCAGATGTCCCCCTTGAACCAGGGGGCGAGGACGGGAACAGGGCCGTCTCAGCCCGTTCCTCCTCAAGGCCCCACGAGACACCCAGCGCCAAATGGAAGGCTGGGCAATTGTGATGACCGTCTCTGAGAGCTGGGTATGTTTTTTCCTTCTAAAAGTGGACAACCGCACATACTGAAGGTATTGGGACTGAGAACAGGCATGGAGACAAATGCGAAACTCTCCTCCAAGGCCACCCTCCCACCCACCCCAGCAGCCTGGGCTTGTTGGAGGCAGAAACATGCCCACCCTTGAGGTCAACCCTGAGCTGGGTGCTTCCCTGCCACCTCACCAGCTCCTGGAGGTCCATATGTTAGAGTTTGGGGGTGGCGTTTATTTTAAAAAATAGATGGTGCAAGAAACTTGGGAGGGGGGGCAGGGCGCAAACCAGGGATTTGGGGATCGACGTTAAGGAGCTCATATCCAAATGTCTGAGGCCCCCAAGCTGGGAGAGGAGGGAAATGGGGCAAAGCCACACAACCACATCTCAAAGGAGACCCCGATTCCCTCCATGAGCGGGGTCATGGGGCAGGTAAAGAAACCTCCTCAGGTGTGACTCTGCTGCCACGACACGTCAGCCTCATCACTGGCAGCCTCCCTCAGTGGGCACAAAGCCAGGATCTGCTCCGGGAAAGAAGGAGGGACCCCAGGAGGGGGCCTTATCAATGCAGCAGGCCCCAAGGCGTCAGCCCCCACCACATCAGCCACAGACCAGGGGTGGTTCTGTGGCTCTCGGCCCCAGTGTGTGCTCAGCACACCCCTTACAGAGACAGCCTGAGGCTGGCCCAGCTCCCGGGGTGCCAGGAGCTACCTCCTGGTCCCTGACCGGGGCAGCAGGACAGGGGCACAAGCGATGCCCGCGAAGGACTCTGGGAAGTGCAGGTCGCGCTCCCACTCATCCGTCTCCGTGTTGTACACCTGCACGATGCCCGTGACGTTGTTGAGGCGCCAGTTGTAGCCCCCCACGATATAGATCTTCCTATCCAGCAGGCAGCAGCCAGCCTCCGACTGGCCGGCCCGCATGGGGCTCACACTGGTCCACTGGTCTGTCTCAGGCACATAGTACTCCACCGCCAGCACATCAAAGCAGCGGTCGACGTGGTCCATGCGGCCCCCAAGGGCATAGATGCGGCCGCCGGCCCCCACCATGGCATGGAGCACGCGGGGCTCGCTCATGGGTGCCTTGAACTCCCACTGGTCGGTGGCAGGGTCGTAGCAGTGCAGCGCCTTCTTGTCCTCCACGGAGATGCCGTAGCCGCCGGAGATGTAGAGGCGGCCCCCTGCCGAGGCACCCGCGTGGCCCCAGGTACGGCGCTTCAGAGAGCAGGCGTAGCCCCACTCGTTGCGCCGCGGGCAGTACCGCTCGACCGAGGCCAGGCTGCCCGCCCGGTTGCGGCCACCCGTGGCGTACACCATGCCGCAAAGCACGTTCAGCTGGAACTGGATGCGGCTCTCCTGCATGGCCTGAAGGCGCAGCCAGCGGTTCCGGTGCGGGTCGTAGCGGTAGCAGGCGTCCACCGCGCCCTCGCCGCTGCGGTACTGCAGGTGCTGGCCCCCGGCCACGTACACAAAGTTGTCGAGGACGGCCACACACGTGTGGCTGCAGCCCACCTCCATCTCGGTGAGTTCCCGGAAGTGGCGGGCGCCCGGCTCAGGCAGCTGGTACACCTTGCTGCTCACAGAGCGGTCGCTGTCGGTGTAGGGCGTGCCCCCAAAGGCCACCAGGGAGGGCACGTCGGAGCGCACAACCGTGCGTGGGGACTGCATCTCGTGCTGCCGGAAGGGTAGCACCTGGTAGTTGAAGGCCTCCAGCAGGTACTGCCGGCACAGCACGTCCTCCACCATGATGTCCAGCGTCTGCACGCTGTCCACCAGGTCCGACGAGCGCATGAGCGGGAAGCGGATGTGGCAGAGCACGTGGCTGGCGCGCGGCCGCCGGACCGGGTCGTGTTGCAGCCAGCGGACCGCTGCACGGAACAGGTCGATCTCCGCACAGCTCTGCAGCCGATTGCTCTGCAGGAAGAAGACGAGGCGCTCCAGCGGGAGGTGCAGGAAGTCCTCCTCCTCCGCGATCTGCAGGAAGTGCTGGAAGGTGAAGGCATCCACGGACTCCTTGAGCGAGGCCAGGCTGAAGGTGGTGGCCATGTGGCCAATGTTCAGGCAGGTCTCTACACTCATGGCGGCCTTAAGGAACTCCTCGCACAGCTCCACCACGGGCAGCATCTGCAGGAACACGGCCGCGCCCAGCACGTCCTGCACGCAGTCCAGGTCTAGCGTCACCTCGGCACTATAGGCAAAGTCGATGATGTGCCGTAGGCCACGGGCGGACACACCCTTCAGCTCGATGACGTCCTGGCTCGCCTCCCTCATGCCACCCGTGAACATGGCCCTGAAGTTCAGAAACACAGCACGTGGGTTTGGGGTTGCCAGGGGGGCCTCATGGCCACCCAGGAATAGACTGGCCCCTGGACATCACGAGCAGGGCACAGCCAACCAGGGGAAAGAGGCCAGATGCTCATTAAAGACATGTAGAAAAGAAAAGAAGGATTTTTAATCCACCTAAGCCATGTGTCTTCCTACAAACAGCAGCTCCCCCCTCGGCCCCTCTGTGTGGGGGTACGTCCAGCCTACCCAGAGGTGTGGAGCACTGGCTCAGAGGGAGGGGACCAGGGGGCCACTCATGGCGGGGCAGGTACAGGAGGGCAGGAAAAGGCCAAACGTTGATTTTGGCCATGAGGCAAGTGCCAGCCCCACCTTGGCACCCAGTCCTGTTAAGACCACACACACAGCAGGCTCAGGAGAGGGTGGGGACCCCAAGAACACTGGGCACCATGGTTCTCAGAGGCCAGCCCCTCACCAGCACCAGCAGACACATGTGGGCATGTGGCTCCACCACCCCGAGCCCAAGTCTCAGTCCCATCACCCACAGATGGGGAAGGGGTGAGGGTCCCCAGCTCAGAGCACCCACTAGGAGGCCCCACCAAGGTCACTGTCATCTCTAAAGAGAGGCCCAGACAGGAAAGCCCTCCGAGAATGGCCTACAGGAGCCCTAGTTCACTGTGAGACATCCCCCACCCCCAGTGAGTGAGTGACACTAGCTGTCAGCCTTTCTGTCCTGCTCTGGCAAGTGGTGTTAATGATATGAGCACCAGTGTGAGAAACAGGACCTGGGTCACAGCACCCCCCCAGCCTTTGGGGGAGCCCCCATCAGGAAGAGGGGCAAGAACCCCAACACCCTCTGGGAGTGCATAAGAGGTTCCTCTCATGGGGCGAGCACATATTGTGATGGCCGACCCAGGAGAAGGAACCTCCTTCATCCATTCATCCAACAGATGCCTGTCCCCCAGTCACACACCCAGCGTGGCCTGGGCTCAGGTCCCAGAGTGGGGACAGCTGAGCTGGATGCTGCTGTGGGGCCGCCAACTAACAACTGCCCAACACTCTGAGCAACGGCACCATGGAGCCTTCTAGGAGCAGCACTTGGGCAGCCCCTCGGACCCTGCCCCTTCTTGTCCCCATGAGTCCCATCAGCCCATCGAAGGCAGAGGCAGCCACGGCGACGGGAGGGAGCTTTGCCTTTTAAGGCCTCGCCGGCTGCAGTGCCAGCGCAGAGGAGCCTTTAAAGGGCATTTCTGGCTGGGCCGGCCCACCCGTCCCCAAATCCAGAATAAAAATAGACACGGCGCCCCAGATGGCTTGGCTGCTCCGGCTCCCCAGAACAGCCTTGTTGAGCCTGGGGGGCGGGAGGCTGGGGGGCGCACCAGGCAAGCCGTCCCAGCCTTGCCACCCTAGCCTCGAGGACCATGCAGCCGTCGGAACGCACCTAAGCTGGGGCTCTGTGAGACAATCTGAAGGGGCACCCCAGCCACCACTGGCAAAGCAGGGTCAGAAAGCCACCCCTAGGACAGCACCCCAGTTCTCTCTGGCAGGGTCACAGCCTGGCAGGAGGAACTGGCCAGCTGGTCACTGAGGAAATGAGGGAGACTGTCCTTAGCCCATGACAGTCCCCAGCTGGTGAGAACGGCCCTAGTCCTGCTCTAAGGGGCCCTCACTCCCCCACACAGCCCAGCACAGGGAAGGGGATTTTAGGAAAGGGCTCTCGCAGCAGACTGACCAGTACACCCAGGAAGGCCTCACCTGTTGTGAAGGGACTACGACACAGCCTGGCATGCATGGGGACCCCCATCTGGGCGTCCTTCCTATTCCTCAGCCTGAGTACAGGAACCTATGGAGGCAGAGACTTGTGTCTGTCTTATCTCTGTTGGATCCCCACGGCCAAGCACAGGGCCTGGTACACACAGGTGTCAAGTAAAGACAGAATGAAAACAAGGCCAAGTCCTGCTACTCCCCCAGGGCAGAAGCAGCTAATTGGGTGCCAGGGGCCACCTCTAGCCCCCAGGCATGTTCCGTTTGCCTACACCATGTCCCCCAAAAGTCTGATAAAGTTATAAACCTAGAAAAAGCTTCAGATTTACTGAATATGTGGCCAACACCAGCCACATTCCCTCACAGCCATCCTGGCTGGTGCTGAGGTCACTCCCTCTTAGCTGGGGGGGGGGGACTCTCCAGCCTGCCCCCCGAGACCTGGGCTCACCTGAAGTAGTCGCTGCAGGCAGCCAGGACCACCTTGTGTGCGTGGAAGGTCTCTCTGTTGATGGTGAGTACAACGTCCAGCAGCTGGCCCTGGGCACGGAGGGCAGCAAGGCCCTGCAGGAGGCTGGTGCTATGGCCGGGAGCTGAGAAGGTGCACTTGAGAGCTCCATTTTTGTCAGCCATGCTGCAGGAGAGCAGAAGTGGGGGCTGAGCTCAGAGGCCTGAGGTCTGTCTAATCTCTGCCCAGTGACATTGGGCTGGTCCACCTGGGCTCTGAAGCTGCCCCAGGCACAGGCAAAATCACCAGAACTGGCCCTGGAGAAGCAGACACAAAACCGGGGTCCCCATCTCATTAGCCACCTGCCTGGCAACTGGCCTTGGCAAGGGACATCACCTCTCCGGCTTCCATTTGCCACCTGTGAAAGGGCCAGGGTTTCTCCTAGGATCTGAGGAGGCTCTAACGCCCATTTTGGTTTTTAATTGAGCTAGGATTCACATCACATTGAATTCATAGTTTGTTTGTTTGTTTTAAGATTTTTTTTATTTATTTGACAGACAGAGATCACAAGTAGGCAGAGAAGCAGGCAGAGAGAGAGAGGAGGAAGCAGGCTCCTTGCTGAGCAGAGAGCCTGATGTGGGGATCGATCCCAGGACCCTGGGATCATGACCTGAGCCCAAGGCAGAAGCTTTAACCCACTGAGCCACCCAGGCGCCCCATGAATTCATTGTTTTAAAGTGAACAATTCAGTGACATTTAGTACATACCCAACATTGTGCAACCACCGCCTCTAGCTAGTTCCAGAAAATCTTCATCCCCTCAAAATAAGACCCCATCAGCAGTCTCTCCTCACCCCCCTCTACCAGACCCTCCACCAGCCCCTCGCAACCACCAATCTATCTTCTGTCTCTGGATTTGCTTCTTTTGGACACTTTGCATAAATGGAGTCAGGCACTGTGTGGCCTTTCGCATGGGGCTTCTCTTGCTCAGCATGTCACGAGGTTCACCCATGTTGTGTCGTCCTTCTTGTGGCTAAGTAATATTCCATAGTGTGGATAGACCAAGTATCCGTGTCACATCACTGCCCCCCCATGCCCTAGCAAGCCGCCTCCGAGGGCAAAGCCCTTGTCTGTCCCCTGCAGGGGGTGAGGGTGGGATTAAGGTGCTGGCACGGAGCCCCAACACGGCTGTTGAGGAGGAACCTACAGCTTTGAGGGCAGCTCTGGTCCCCAGGGTCGGGGGGTGGTCACAGGCCAAGAGAGGCCAACCGTCTTGGAGGCCCAGCTACTTGGATACCTGCCCAATGAGCCCCTTATGCTCAGCACCCCAGGGGAGGGCAGCCACACAACCACAAAGTCATTTTCCAAAGACTTTGGCTCTGGGGTCTACTTGACTGTCTAATGGAAGCGAAAAGCCCATTGGTCCTACCTCCCAAGGATAAGGACACAATAAGTAGCTTGTAAGACCAGAGCTGTAAGACCACACAGCAGGATTTGAACCCAGGCTCAGGATGGGACAGAGTGGGTGGGATCTCCCTATCTGTCATGGCCAATGAAGCAGGCAGGGGGTGAGTCTCAGCAAATTGTGGGGAAGCCACAAAACCAAGAATATCTACCCTAAGAGGATGGGTTTGCCTATCGGGGTAGTTCAATGGGGGGGATGGAGACACGTTAAACAGAGATTGCTGCGCCTCAAAATAACCGTTCAGGAGGCAAAGGTCTTCTTAGAACAAACAATGAACTTTAAAAAAAGAGAAGAGGTGGAAACAGCCCAAATGTCCACCGAAGGGTAAGTGGGTAAACACAGTGTGGTCATCCACACAACGGAATAGTCCTCAGTCATAAAAAGGAATGAAGCTGATTCACGCTACAATGTGAATGAACCTCAAAAACATCACACTGAGTGAACGAAGCCAGTCACGCGAGGGCATAAACTGTACGATTCCTTTTATATGAAATGTCCCAAACAAGCAAATCCACAGAGACAGAAAGCAGATTCGTGGTCGCTGGGCTGCGGGAGGCGGGTGGGGGAGTGACAGCTAATGGGCACAGGGTCTCGTCTGGGGGTGAGGGAAATGTTCTGGAACTAGATAGAGATGATGTGTGCACAACACTGTAAATGCACGAAATGCCACTGAATTGTTCACTTTAAAATGGTAGATTTTATGTTATGTGAATTTCACATCAGATTAAATAAATAAGACTAAACAAAAGGATATCTGAGCTTTCTCAGGTCTGCATAAAACCCTGCCATGGCCACCCGCCATGGCCCTCACCCCCTCACAGTATATGAGGACTTCTATTCCCCCCTTGCCCTGCTCACCCCCACATCCCCTCCCCTCCAGCACCACTGTCCCCTCTGCTGTTTTGTCTTGAAAAACTGGTTGACTATATTAAAGAATGAATGGTTTAGGAGGCCCTATTACATCACTTCACCCCCCGAACACAACAGGAGGGAACAATGCCATCACCTCTAGGGTCAGGCCACTGTGGGGTCAAGAACCCCCACCAGGACTCTCCCAGCCCATCCCTCACCCACTCCAGGCCAAGGCCAAGTACTCTGCTCTCTCCCCACGGCCTCCAACTCTCTGGAACTTGCTTTCCCATTCCTGGGACTGACGCCTGCCCACAAATGAGGGCCAGGAATGTGGGCACTGGTCTTTCCAAGAAAGCAGGAGAAAGAAGGCTCCTCAGCCCTCACTGTCCAGCAGCTCCCAAAACAATACTGGGGACAGAAGAGCTGATGCCAAACACAGGGCATACTGTCGGCGCTCAGTCAGTGCAGCTGCTGCCGGCTGATGGTCCCTGCCCTGCGTAGACCACCAGCTCAGTGGCTCCTCCACAAGAGCCTCAGGAAAGGGGGGCAAACCAACCAAGGGCCAGAGGAGCTGCAGGGTCCTGGGGTGCTGACCACAGGCCTGCAAGGTACTCAGGGTCCTGGTGTGGGAGGAGAAGGGGACATGGGACATGGCATGGGGGACACGGGACACGGCAGGGGGACATGGTTGCACTTGGCAGACCTCCCACCCATGGGACGCTGTAGCGCATGCTTCAGAACTCAGCACCGTGCTCGCCTGGGCCAGTAATGCTGGGACGCCGGTGGTGCCGGTGGCCAGAGCCCGGGTTTGCCCAGAAGATTTGGCATACAGCCCTACTGAAGGCCACAGAGGCCCAGAAGGCCCAAGTCGCTAGTTTGGTCTGGCCGCCTCTCCCTGCAGGTGGAAGGGATGCCCATCTCACATGCCCCCGTTCCCCTCCCATGTTGTTATGTCCAGACCGCCGTGCCTGACCCGGCTGCTGCTGGAAATTCAAGTCTCTGTTCTTCCAGTTTCCCACAATCCACCCACAAAGGGAATGTCGCTGGTTCACAGACCCTCGGGCTTCAAAGTGCACCCATCCTCTGGTCAGGGCTGTCCTGCAGCATACAGCTCTGACTGGGATGTCTCCAGAAGGGCTTCCACTGGGTCTTCTCACCAACCCCCCAACAGGCCTCCAGACCGCCTGAGATAAGCCCACATGCCATAGGAGCCTCTAACGACCCTTGAGGTGCTCAGGTCTGAGCCCCCACCCCCTGCCCTCCTCTCACTTCACTGGCATTGTCAGCCCCTTGCCCCTTTCCCATGGGTGGGAGCACAGAGTGAACGAGATGGAGAGGCCTTGCCCTCACCGGCTGCACAGTCTGGGGAATGGAGACCCAGAGCGGTCAAATCATCCAGAAGAGGCTTCACATCGCAGCTCTGAGCATCCCACAGCTGGGGAGGGGAGAGGAGCCTAGAGCAGAAATGTGCAGAGGCCAGAAAGTTGGGGTGTCCCCAGCCCTGCCACCCCCACTGTTAGACAGGGACACCCAGCCTCTCCTTTGGAGCAGAGGGCTTGGCTGCATCCTGGGTGTTGGCCCCAAAGGCCTACCCTGAGAAGCCCTCCCTCTCCCTATAACCCCACCTGGGGCCCGGCCAACACCAAGACAGCACCGGGAACCACCTTCCCCCGTGCCACAGGGCCCTACTGCCAAAGGCCGGCACTTGACCCCTTTGTGAAGCACAGTGGCCTGGAGGCCAGGGACAGCTGGTGCGACCTCTTAGGGCCTCCCCAGCAGGCCCAGGGAGTGGAGAAGAGGCATATCTCAACCTTCACCATGCGTGTGAATAACCAGGGACCACATCAAGACCCAGACCGGACTCAGCAGGTGTGGGCACCCTGGGGATGGCAGTACCATTCTCCATAGACCCCACTCCACATTGCAGAGGCTGGGGGGTGTAAGAAGGTGACACTTAGATAGCATCAACATCCCACCTTCCTAACCAGGATCCCTCAGAATCCCAGACATCCAGAGCCTTGCCCTAAGCAGAGTGTTTCAAGGTTGGTCTAGGACGCAAAGGTGGGGAGATGCAGCTAAGTGAGTGAGACACACTCCTCCAGGAAGCCTGCCAGGGCCACACCACAGCCCTTGCTCCATCAGGCTACTGGTGTGAGAGGCAGACGGCAGGATTCCAACCCCTGCTCTGCCATCTGTCAGCTCTGTGACTTCAGCACATAACCTAGTCCTCTGGATCTTCACTTTCTTGTCTGTCCAATGGGGCATGCAGAAGCACGGATGTCGCAGGGCTGCAGTGAGATTCCCCCTTGTCCCCATCACCTCCTGGTAAATGAGGGGCCGCAGATATTTCCCTTGGCTTCCCTTTGGGCTGAGAAGGTGGCATGGCCCAGTGAGGGGCTGCATCCCGCCGCCACCCATACAAGCCACCCACATGCCCCTGAATGGTGCCAAGTGCTTAGAAACTTGAAGCCTGGAACCACCCACAGAGCACTGGCACATGGCAGGTCCTCTCTGTGGACACCTTGCCTCATAGATTTTGTACATGTGTCCCCCCCACACCCCAGTCTTTGCCATTTTGCTTTCAGCTAGCTTCATTTTTTTTCTTAGAAGTTTCTGATTGATTATGAGGCAAGGCCAAAAGACTTTATGTGCTTTCCTCTAAGCTCCAGGGACTGGCATGCACACACATGCTTCCACCAGAAGAAAGATTTCATACCAGGGGCAACTTCATTCTGGAGCCGGTTGGTCCCTGGACATATGTCTGCCATGGTCCTCCATATATAAAGAGCACCAAAAAATCAATATAAAACCAACAATCTCACAGATAGATACACAAAGGATGTGGGCTGATGGTTCATAGGAAAGGAAGC